CAGAAGCCCTTGGGAACGAACAGGCATTTTTTTTCTACCCTGACACTTCTTGGGCAGGCTACACAATAACTCAATCTTCCAGGCTGCCTGTCATCTGTCAAGGAATAACAGGACTTTGGAAACGCAAGAATTACAAACATGCCTGCTGTGCCAGTTTTTAATGGGAAGCTAGAATCAAAACATAAGGAACCTATGTGTTTTCAAAATGCAAGCAAGAAAATTATTCCCCGTTTCCCCTACTCCCCAGAAATCCTTTCTAGGGTCTCACTGCTCCTATATTTAACCCAAACTATTTTATATTTAGATTTTGAAGTAACATATTAGAACTGCATTCCCTCTAAGAATCCGCCCTGGTCAGAACCATGTTGGTCCACATCTCTTAACTCTGTGACTATGAAACAGACCTAGGGCAAAGTCTTTTCATTCCCAGCTTCCCTATCTGTGAAACGGGGCTAACCCGGAAAAGAATTCAGCAAGATCGTGGCTATGAGAGGCTCAACAATGTACCCAGTAACTGAAACGATCATTACCTCGCCTCACGCCCACGGTAGAAAAAGTAGAAAACGAATGTCAAGTAAACGGGATTCATACTCCTTGTTGCCTGCTTTCCTCCGTTCAGCAACATATTGCGACCATCTCTCCCTGTCAGTTTATATATTTTTATACCATTATTTCCAGTGGCTACAGAGCAGCTGTAGAATGTTTTCATAATTTATGGTGACCAATCTTCTATTATTGGACATGATGTTGTTCCCAGTTTGAGGCTATAATAAAAATACTTCGACAGACACCCTTGGTTTGTGTACAGCCCCCGATGGGGCATTGCATTCCCACAGTCCTTCCTCATACCAGCCGAAATCTTCACATGCACAAGTTCTGGGGCCAAGTATTACCTGGAACATCCTCCATGCACCCATCCCTCATCTGTTTAACCTGACTAACGGTGCCCCTCCTCCCAGGGTGACAGTGAAGATGAAAAACAAAGTGAGAGGAGGTCCCAGAGGGCTGGCATGTGGCCGGGACACAGCACCGTTAGCAGCGGAAGAAGACACAGTGAAGGGCACACTGCGTCCAGACTTCAAATGCAAGGCCCCAGACAGAAACCAGCATGGAGCAGGCCCTTGGGAAAAGGTTCTTTTGTTTTGCTTTGGGAGGATTTGTTTTGTTTTTTGAGACAGGGTTTCTCTGGGTAGCCTAGGCTGTCCTGGAACTCACTTTGTGGACCAGGCTGACCTCAAATTCTTAAGAGACCTGTCATGCTGGGATGAAAGGCGTGTGCCACCATTGCCCAGCTGAGAAGAGGTTTTAATTGGCTTGCAAATGGATGAAAGAGGAGGCATGAGAATTCGAAAATAAATAAAATTTGTGCTTCAACAACACACTGAAATTGAAACAATTACAGAGATCAGCAAAGCCCCATGGACAACGACGACAGGAAATACATGAAGCGTTCAGTGGTTTTTGTTTGTTTGTTTTGTTTGGATTTTTTGGTGTTCTTAGACAGGGTTTCTCTGTGTAGCCTCTGTAGGCTATGCTGGAACTCTCTCTGTAGACCAGGCTGGCCTCCAACTCAAAGATCCACCTGCCTCTGTCTCCTGAGTGCTGGGATTAAAGGTGTGCGCCATCATATCTGGCTATTTTTTGTTTGATTGGTTGGTTTTTGTTTTGTTTTTTGAGACAGGGTTTCTCTGTGTAGCCCTGGCTGTCTTGGACTCATCTTGTAGACCAGGCTGGCCTCAAATTCACAGAGATCCACCTGCCTCTGCCTCCCAAGGGCTGGGATTAAAGATGAGTGCCACCACTGCCCAGCTGTTCGGTGGTTTTTAAAATACATGAACAGAACACTCTGGAAGAAAGTGGCAGCTGAGGCAGCCTTTGTGGGCCTCCAGGTGAGAAAAGGGAAAAAGATAAACTACCCAGAGCTTGCCCCGGCCTGCCTTAGGCTCCTGTTCCCTGCAGCCACTCCCCTCTTAGTTCTCCTCCAGTGCCTTTGCTTTGGCACTTTCTGCTGTTCACCATGGACCTGTCAGCCCTCTGGAAGATCCACTCCCTCAACACAGGTCCCTCATGATGGTGGGGACCCTCACGGCTCCCTGGTGCCAGCAAAACTTCCTGAGCTTAAGGATAGGGATGGCTGCATTTCTACCCTAGCCAGTGGTGGACAAAAGAGAAGCCTGACGACGAAATCTGAAATCCTTCAAGGCACCCGTGGTGACTGCCGTGAGGCCTTCTGGGAAAGAGTGAGAGCCCTGTCTTGAAACTGTCTATGACTTTTGCAGGGCGGCATGGCGTTGGGAGACAGTCTGCCAAGCCTGCCCCACAAAGCTCAGAGCTCGGGATGACTCCAGCCCACCGACCCACAGCTGGCACTGGCCGCTCACCTCCTGTCAACTCACTGCAGTGCTTGGTTCTGTGACTTTGATTTCCTATGGGGGGGGGGGGAGGCAATTCCCCAAACAAAGTATGGCTGACCATCCTGCACACTTCCTCACTAAACAGTAACCACAAAGGAAGGACGATCGCTGTCCCTGCCTTCCGATGACAGTCATTGTGGGCAGCAAGGCCAGCCTAGCTGCCTAGGAGCCCTCTGCTGAGGGGAAGCCGGAGGTTTCCGAGACCACAGTCCACAGGCTTACAGTTAGGGTTAGGGAAATCTTCCGTGACCTCCGGCTTACCTCGGGGGCATGCACCATAAGAGGGAAGCAGAGCCCTGGAGGTACTTCCTCCAGGAGGAAAAATTCAAGGAAGCAGGAAGGCTGTGCCTCAGAGAGGAAGAGAGCTTCTGCGCAATTGTGAAACCACCTGCTTCCACATTCCCTTCCTCTAGAAAACCACAGCTCTCTGCAGGGCACTGTACAACTAACCCGTGGCAGGGACACAGCAAATGCTGAACTGAGCAGGAAGAACACGGAGGCCAACGCGGTTCGAGAACAGGAAGTGCTTTCTAACAAATACCCAGAAGTCTAAAACCCAGAAGTCTGGAAGAAAGCACCCTGCCAGCAACCATGCATGTCCTTCCCAGGGTCTCTCGGATACCTTCCAGTTCTGAGCCGCAGCCTCCTAAAGCAACAACAGGAAACGCAGGGGAGGGGACCCATGGACAGAGCAGCCACTCAGTTCCGGGCACACACATCCAGCATCTACCCTACTGACCTTCAGTCTTAGAGGGCTGTTATTATTTCTATCTGATACAGGAGAAATACACAGCTCAGAAAGATTTAATAATCTGCTAAAGCGAGGAGCAGCAATGGCTACCTTTAATCCCAGCACTTGGGAGGCAGAGGAAGGCAGATCTTGGCGAGTAGGAGGCCAGCCTGGTCTACAGAGTGAATTCCAGGACAGCCAGGACTACACAGAGAGACCCTATTTCAACAATAAAATAATAATAATAATTATTATTATTATTATTATCACCTGCCAAAGCCAGTTCCAATGGCACATGCCTGGAATGCTAGCTACTGGGAAAGATTAAAACAGTATTTTCAATCTCAAGCTTATTTGGGCTGTACAGTAAGTTCAAGGCCATTCTAGACAAGAGAGACTGTCATAAAAGGAGGGCTGAGCAGGTAAAAGCACTCACTCACTACGGTGCGCGTGCACACACAAATAAATAAATACATAATAATTTTAATGAGGGCCGAGTATGGTGGCATAGTGGTAAAGTACTTGCCTTGGCATGCATGAGGCCCTGGCTTCAATCCCCAAGTCCTGTCAAAATAAATATTTCTCTCTCCACCTGGGTAGAGAAAACCCCTACCCCCTGGCCATGCAGAAGAGCGTACGCTTTGCAGCTTACGGCTCTACGAGGATAGCAGGAGCGGCTGACTTCACCTCACCAGTGTCAAAACCCTCCAAAAGCCCTTTCACATCCCTAAGCCCAATGATCCAGCTCCAGGGAGAAACAGACTGGCAGCCATTAGTGCTTTGGGAGGTGAGAGGCTACTGCCCCCTCCTAGACTCCAAGCCAGGAACACACAGTGGGACAGAAGGGCCTGGTAAGGCCTTTGAAATAAACAGCCCCCAGCTAAGCTTTGGGATGAGCGGAACAAGTGAAGGACAGCGGGCTGGAAAAGGATTCCAAACAGACCAAAGAGCAGAAGCAGAGGCTGACCTCGACCCCAAGCCTCCTCTGCCACAGTTTCCAACAGGAACAACTTTCCATTCTCTGGTCCGACAGCTTTCCAAGCTACCAATCTTACGAAGCCCCCCCTCCCCCCACATGTATTTTAATGATATGGCTGTCCGGAGTTAAACAGCGTTCATTCTAAATGCCAACAACTAAACTCAATTCCATCAGGACCCATGCCAAGTCCTTTGCACAAATAATCTCTGCAATTGTGCAACCGGCAACTTTTCCTCATGTTTACTGAGGGAAAACTAAAATTCGGAGTTGAAAGTTTACCCAAGGTCATCCAGTTACCAAAGGGAAGAGATAGGATTTCAACGTACTTCAACCCCACCTAACAAATGGTTCTGTTAACTACTCCCCAGAAGAAAGGAGAAGGGGAGGACTAGGCTTGCTGAGTCCCTGGGCTTTTCTGAGGACCAGAGGCTCCGGCCTAGCCACCCTTGCAGATGAGGGGCAAGAAGTGGGAAGCTCCATCCAAAACAAAAGAATGAGAGTGAGCCTCGCGGGGCCTCCAGTTACAAAGGGAAGCAGAACCTGGGCCCGGAGAACCCGGCGTGGAACAACAGAAAGCGCCTCAATTGCCTGCGGGGCGGGGCGCGGGGGCGGGGCGCGGGGGCGGGGCTCTCCGCGGCCCGCACGCTCCATCCAGCGCTGCGGGACCCCGGAGGGGGCGGGCCGCGGGAGGGCGGGGCCGCGGGGCGGGCGGGGCGTCGCTTACTGGGCCACCTCCCCAACCCCTCTCCATACTCTGGCTCCAGCAGGGCTGATCCGGGATCTCGATGCTGTAATCCAGCTCGGCCGAGGCCATGGTGAAGGTGCGGGCCGTCAGCACCGGCCATCCGCCGGAACTCCAGCAGTTTCACCTCGCCGGTGCGGGAGGCCGCCGGGCCACGCCCCCTCCCCGCCCACGTCCGCGCTGCCCAATCCCCGAGCCGCTCTCTGTGACCTCCCTGCCTAGCAACCGCCGAGTCTCTCCGTGCCTCCCGCCGCCCTCGCTAGCCCAGCCCTAGCAACCACGCCCCGCCCCTCCTGTCTTTGGGCCCCAGCAATTGGCTGACTCTCTTGATCCGGATCAAGTATTGGTCAGCAGCGCTCTTGGAGCGTCCCCATCCTTAGGAAGGTGAGAGTGGGTGGGAGAGTTGATGGATGGTGGGTCTGCTCGTCCCTGGTCGGAGACTTGGACTTAGCGCTTCTAACTCCGTCTACGTCCATCACCAGCCGCAGGTCCCAAGCTGGAGGCGGAAAAAACGAACCGAACAGTGTAAGGCGGCGCGTGCCAACCGGCCCTTCCACCTGTGGGGTTGAGACCGGCTGCCTGGCTGGGAGGGGTCTTCAGGTAATCACTTCAGAAATGCCCTTTCGTGGGTGAGTCCAAATAGTTCAGACGAGTACGGGTAATCTTGCATTTAGTAAATATTTAGTGAGCCGGGCAAAGTGGTGCTCACGCTTAATCCCAGTACTCGGAAGGCAGAGGCAGGTGGACGTCCGTGAGTTCCAGGCCAGCTTGGTCTACAGAGCGAGTTTCAGAGATATATAGTGAGACCCTATCTCGAAATACAAAAACAAAAAGGGCCTTGAAGGATCCTCTGACCAGGATCCTTAGCCTAATGCAAAAGAAACACTGGAAGGACAGGCCCGAGGCAGCATTTAATTCCAAGCCCATTCTGGAATTTATGGTTAGGTGATGCTGATGGTGATACGTTTTCCTGTGTGTCTTACACCTGTGAGATTTATCGTGAGGACAGCAGGGAGTTTGTTCTAGGACTTTAAGCAGGGTGAGGACTGGGCAGATCCTGGATAGAGGATTGGGAGATGAGAGACCAGTTAAATTTTTTTTGAGTGGCCTGGCAGTGACGGGGCACACCTTTAATCCCAGTACTCAGGGAAGAGAGGCAGGCAGATCTCTGCGGGTTGGAGGCCAGCCTGGTCTACAGGGAGAATTCCAGGATATCCAGGATCCAGGGCTACACAGAGAACCCCTATCTTGAGAAACAAAACAAACAAAAGTTGGGTGATGGGGAAAGCTTATGCATGATGCCTAGGAGATGGAAGCCAAGGAGGAAAGTGTTGAGGGCTGATGGTTAGTAAGGTAAATAAAATCTCAAAGATGACCCTGGGTCCACAAACAAGGAAGTTGGTGGTAACCTTTGTAAGTGCCGTTTTCAGTGAGCTTCAGTGGCTTGAGAAATGAGCAGCACGGTGGTACACCCCTGTAATCCCAGCATCGGAGGTAGGGCCAGGGGGCTAGGGCTTCGAGGACATCCTCAACTCCAAAACAGGTTCCAGACTAGCCTGAGCTACACAAGACTTGACTTTAAAAGGGGGGGGTGGGAGGGAGTAGATGGAATACTTTCAAGACACATTGACAGTTATTGACAGCCGCTAGGAGGTATGAGCTTTTGTTCAGACGAGAGAGATCCAGCAAAGAGATAAAAAATAAATAAAATTACAGGGGAAAGAGGGTGAGTGAAAGAGTACCCCCCTCCAAAAAAAGTGGACCCCCCCAAAAAAAGTCCTCACTTTAAACAGTTGAGCCACTGGGAGATGGCTCAGCCAGTACAGTGTTTCCTGAGCAAGCGTGAGGAGCCAGCTTAGACCTCCAGGACCCACATAGAAGCTGGGCAGGTGGTGGTGCCATCTGTAACCCCAGAGCTGGGGAGGCAGATGCAGGCAGAGACTTGCTGGCCCGTCAGTCTAGCCATATCAGCAAGCTCCCAGCTCAGCGGTAAGCGATGGTGAGATGGCTCAGTGGATCAAGGCGCTTGCTGAGCAAGTCTGGTGGCCTGTGCCCCATCCCCGAACCCACACAGAGGAGGAGGGAGAGCACCTATTCCACCCTGTTATCCTCTGACCCTCTACACTTGTGCTTGAACCACACACGCATGATCAGCCACACAGTAGCAACAAATATTATTGTTTAAAAAGAATGAAAAGGTGGAGAGAGATATAGACACTCGGTGTGGTGGGATCTAGATTCGGAACTCACAGCCACGTCAACAGCACCGTGGCTCCCTGCACACCACCGTGCTCCCCACTCTGTCGATAACGGACAAACTGTCTGAAACTGTATGCACACCCCAATTAAATGGTTTGTAATAGTTACCACGTCATGGTATCTCCTCACAGCAGCAGAACGCTGACTAAGACGGCCGTTGTTACCAGGGAGCAGGATTATCACTGGGACAGGTTTGCGCACACTGCTTTTGGTAGAATGTGGACTTTGGGGCTTCAGATTAGGAAAGCCGCCGAACACTTTAAGCAGGCTTAATGGACCGTACTAGTAGGAGCATGGAAGACAATCGTGCTGAGAGCCATGTAGATCATGGAAGCCTAGCTCAAGACGTTTCAGAAGGGAAGAATATTAAAGACCATCCTTGTGATAGTTTGGAAAAAAAAAAAAAAATTTAGCTGCTTTCTGACCTTGTCCAAGACAAAAAAAAAAAATCTGCCTAAGGCTAGACTGAAAAGTTTTGGATTAATGATGTTTGCAGAGGGTGATTTCAAGCCAGCCTACTGTGCTGGGCATAGTGGCACACACCTGTAATCCCAGCACTCGGGGGGTGGTGGTGATAGAGGCAGACAGATCTCTGTGAGTTCGAGGCCAGCCTGGCCTACAAAGTGAGTCCAGGACAGCCAGGGCTACACAGAGAAACCCTGTCTCAAAAACAAAATAACAACAACAACAACAAAACAATCAAGGCAGCCCTACTATAGACTGTGTCACGTGGTTATTAGTGGCTGCTCCTACACAGATCTGTAACGAAAAGGAGTGAACTGAACAAGGGAAAATACAAAATGCACAGTTTGAAAAGGAAAGGAGCACCTGGGGGAAGTGTAGCAGAGCTAATTCCAGTACTCAAGAAGATTAAAAGATGAAAGAAAAACCAGATGCTAAGTGGAATAAAAGGGACCGATGACTTCAGGGCAAGACCCCACCCAGCTAAGCTTCCAACTTGTAAAAAAAAAAAGAATTACAGTGAAGCTTAAGCAGTGAAGGAACCCATCAAAAACACAAAGCTGATTAAAATGTATTTGAACAAAGGGGCCATGCCCCAGCCCCAGCAGCAGAACTTAGCAGCTTCAGGAACCTGTTTCTGGCTTTAGAATCCAGGATACAAGAAAGTGGCTGTGGACTTGGGGCTCTGGCAGAAAAAAAAAAAAAAAAAAAAAAAGGCCACAGAGGTCAAACATGTATCACGTGAAACTGTGAAAGTGAAGCCTGGATTTTGTTGGAGACCCTGAGATGTTGGAGATGCCAGAGCCAAGGAAACCTGCCAAGGAGAGCTGCTAAGAGGGAGCGGAACCAGCCAGAGAGAAGTGTGCTGCAGTCAACAAAGCTGAAAGGAGCTGGCCAGCTGAAGAGTGTTTCGACATCGGACGTGGTGCAGAGTTTGGAGTTTGCCCAGCTGGTTTTTGGTCCTGCCTTGGGCCAATATTTCCTCACTATGCTGCCTTTTCTCCCTTTTGGAATGGCTAAGGTATATTCTGTGCCACTGTGTGTTGGAAGTATGTGATCTGCCTTTTCATTTTGATTTTACAGGGATTGCAGTTAAGAGATTGCAGTTAAAAGTTTCAGGAAAGACTTTGGACTTTTAAACAGTGGTGAGGCTGTTATAGACTACGGGACCTTCTGAAGTTGGACTGAATGCATTTGTGCATTATGATATATGGCTACAAGCCTTTGGGCGCCAGGGAGTGGAATGTGGTGCCTTGAATAACAATGGCCCCTTGGGCCCATAGACTTCAGTGTTTGGTTACCAGGGAGTGGCATTGTTTTGTTGTTGTTGGCTTTTTTGTTTTGTTTTGTTTTGGCATTTTTTGAGACAGGGTTTCTCTGTACAGCCCTGGTTATCCTGGACCGTAGTCCAGGCTGGCCTTGAACTCACAGAGATCCACCTCCTCTGCCTCCCAAGTGCGAATATTAAAGGCATGTGCCACCACTGGCTGCTGTATTTGAAAGAAGGAATGGAGGAAATGTATCACTGTGGGTGGGCTTTGAGGTTACAGAAGCCGATACCCAGCCCATAGCTTTTTCTTCTGCTGCCTGTGGATCCAGATGTAGAACTCTCAGCCTCTTCTGCAGCACCGAACCTTCCTGCATCCCACCATGGTAAAGCTTTGAAACTGTAAATGAGCCTCAATTAAATGTTTTTCTTTCTAAGAGTTGCATAGTCACGGTGTTCTTCACAGCAACAGAACAGTGACTAAGACACCCGACATCAACCTGTGACTCCCATATGCAAGCACGCATTGTGTGAGCTTGCACACACACACACACACACACACACACACACACACAGGAAGGGACTTTTGAAACACGACAAAAAGAAAGCATACATCTTGAGATTAGGACATTGGTAATTGGTAACGGGAAACTGAGGGGATTCTTGTTAATGGTGTATTAGAGAGGGTTCTCGAGGAACAGAGCTGATAGAAATGAACATATACGGGACTTATTAGTTTTATTAGGTTTATTACAGGCTGTGGTACAGCTAGTCCAACAATGACTGTCAATCAATGGAAGGTCCATGAGTCCAGTAGTTAAGTTTTGGGGGCTGACTGTCTCAGCTGGTCTTCAGTAAATGCCAGCATTCCAAAGGATCGGGCACTAATGTTAGTAACTCAAGAGAGAGGGCAAGCTGGGCGCTGTAGCACACACCTGTAATCCTAGCACTCAGGGAGGCAGAGGCAGGCAGATCTCTGTGAGTTTGAGGCCAGCCTGGTCTACAAAGCAGGACAGCCAAGGCTACACAGAGAAACCCTGTCTGGGGAAAAAAAAGAAAAAAAGAGTTAGGACAAGTTTCAGGATAGTAAGGGTTACACAAAGAAACTGTCTGGAAAAACAAAACAAAATCCCAATAATAGGGTAGGTCCTGTTACTTTAAATAACTCAAGAAAAATCCCTCAAAGGTGTATCCAGCTGCTAGGGTTTTAGTTCCTTTCAGATGTAGCTGACAATGAGACACAGCCATCCCAAGTGGCTTACTCTGTCTGTAAAATAGGGACCTGTTAGCCATCGAGAGTCGGAAATAGATTGAAGTGAAAGAGAAAAAGAGGCTTAAGGATGGCTAGAAACTTCTGCCCTGTCGTGCTCCTGTTGCGGTCCGTGTGCAGCAGCACCAGTCTGAATGGCTGTGTGCTAACCTCAGCCCCAACAATATCACATAATGTCGGGCACAGAGAGGTTAGAGAATTGATCCAGGTCTGAGTTTTATCTTCAGTGAGAGGACAAAGGGCAGGAACTTGAGGATTCTCGCAAGACAATGATTGAAGTGATTTGCTGTGATTTGCCCTAAGACTTAAAGCGGATAGGAAAAAGAAAGGGTGGACTGGGTG